GGGGGGGGGTTGTCGCCCCTTGCCCTTTAGAAAGTGAGCAGTCAGAGGCACTGAGTCTGTATAGGACTATATTAGTTACAATTGAAGTGGTGACGAAGAGAGCCCCAATTGTATCCTGAGTTTTATTAAGCATCTGCTTTACATACAGCATAAACTGAACCAGCCTAATTGGTCTCCATCCTTTGAGTAGATTAACTTGCTGTGAAATCCTTCACAGAGAGACGATGGAGGGAAGTTAAGAATAAATGAAATCCTCATAATACAACAGCCTTGAACAGTATAGTTCTCAAGCTGCCTAGACAAAGGCAGTAGAATGCCAACAGCTCAGTAGTAAGGACACAAAGCCATGTCTAGAGAATCAGGCAGAGCTTTAAAGATACCAGAAAATGAGCGACAACATAGCAAGGAAAATATTACTGAAGATCACTAAGGCTTCTGCTAGATTTTCACAGACAATATTTCGTTATCCCTCATTCTTCAAATTATCAAAGTGTCACAGATGGTGGTTTGAATTTGCTGTTTAAAGGGAAGCAGGGACTATCACAAGTGATTCTGAAAAACTTGCTGTTCCATACCAGTGGGTAACAGGTTGGAAAATTTAAACTTCAGAAACCACAAATCTGAACTATATAACCACCCCTCCATATTGTAAAAATGCAATCTAACATTTGACATTTCGAAAAGAATATTAAATCCTGTAATTATCAAATCTCTTTGGAAATAAAAAAAATCATTATTTGACAGGAGAAACTTACCAACCATAAGAAGCCCCCCCCCCAATTTTTGTCTTTTTGAGACAGGGTCTCCTTGTAGCCCCAGTTGTCCTGGAACTTATTATGTACACCAGGCTAGCCTAGAACTCACAAAGATCCGCCTGCCTCTGCCTCCCAAGTGCTGGGATTAAAGGCCTGCGCCACCACGCCTGGCATGAGAAACCCTTTTTAAGGTGTACTTCTTCCCAAAATAATACAGTTTTAGTTTTAAAGTAGTGGGTTGTTCTGTTCAAGTGTTTGGAAAAACTCTTTTAAAAGTGGTGATCCCCCTCCCCTAGTATGTTTAAGGGATAGTATGACAGACGCACAGCAAATACTTTTTAACCATGTGATAAAAGTCAGTGTATTTTAGTCTCCCAATAGTTGGGACAAGATGCCACGTCAGCTCACAGTGTAGCTCAGGACAAAACTGTGCCAAGATTTCTACCTAGCTTGCCAATCCACTCCCCCAAACCCTGAAGACGAGATAAGAGGTGTGCATCTGTCTGGGTGAGGGGGGCAACATGGATTCCAAGGTTGTAACGTGGAGTTTTTCATGGTTTCTCAGAAGTACCGACCTCATTTTCTTCCTAATTCCTCAAAATAATGTTTCACATTTCCTGAATATAGCACTTGGCTACAGACAGTATGAAAACACTGTCCTTTTAAAAATATTTATAAGGGGCTGGAGAGCTGGCTCAGCAGTTAAGAACACTGGCTGTTCTTGCAGAAGACCCAGGTTTGAATCCCAGCACCCACATGGCAGCTAACAACTGCCCATAACTCCAGTCCCAGGGGATCCGACAGCCTCTTCTGACCTCCGTGGGCACTGCATGACATGGGTGCACTTACCTACATGCAGACAATACATGCATACACATAAAATAAAAATAATAAATAAAAATTTAAAAAAGATTTATAAGATGGATACTTAAGGTGTAAGCAGTCCTCCAAAATGTTATAGGGACTTCAATCACTCAAAGAAATCTCTCCATAGGCTGTTTTACAACCAAAGCCTGGAAATTAGATGTGAACTTTCCTAAGAACACTGCATAAGAACTGTTACCAAAGAATGAAGGACACTTGTCTGTTCATCCATGATACTGACAAGTAACTGCCTCCTTAAGAACACAGCGTTCAGTCAACCTGACTAAATTCCGTCAAGCAGTCAGTCAGTCATCGGGCTCTTTCATTTGTTCAAGGCCCACTAGTTAGACTGTTTCTGGTGTGTCATATGGAAACAAACACAGGAGTCACCAAGTCCTAAAGCAGGTGTAATAAATAGCGCCTCTTTGCCAGTGTCCCCACAAAATGCTACATCTCCCCAAAATAAGCTGGAGGCCAGCCATGGTGGCATGTCTGCAATCCCTAACAGCAGGAAGGTGGAGGCAGGAGGATCGTGTTTTTGAGGCCAACCAACGTTGCATAGAGAGGCCATGTCTCAGACAGACAAGCAAAAGTGCCTGGTACAACAACATGTATTGACAACACGGAAATACAGAGACAGAAGCAAACGTTCAGTGCATATGTAAAAGCAATGTGTTACCAATGACATACAATATTCATTTTTCTCATCTCAGCCCAATAGCTACACCTCTGTGGTTGATAAGGCACTAAACCAATTATGTGCATACAGCCGACAGAGGTGAGACGGCGAGAGTGAAAACAGGTGACAGAAATAGGAACAAAGTGAGCTAACCACGAGTCAGTTATAGTGGTCACTGTGTCAGAAGAAAGGTTTCTAGAATGAAGGGCTCAGGTGCCTTCCCTAAAATGTTATGGTTACATGGCACTTATGTTTATCCCCAAGATGGTCATAACTCAATAAATTTAAAAAAAAAACAAAAACAAAACATAAATTAGGGCAAAAAGTACCCCATAGTATTTAGGGTATCCTACATCAGGGAAACTTGAAATTAAGGCATTTCAATCTTAAATAGCGAAGTAATATATCACTTATTTCTACTTAAAATGTTTCACAGACTCTTGAGAACTATAGGGAGGAATTCAAACACATGGAAAAAAAGCACATCATCCTATTCTCAACTCTTGTTAACATGAGACCAATCAGGGTGTGGCTCAGCTTGAAGGTAGCTCATTGCTTGGCAAAGAATTTAGGAAGTGCTCTATCCTCTGTCTACAGTCTGAGGTTGGTGTATTTCGCATACAAGTGTTGTCTAGGCAGAACACTTTCCCCTGAATTTAATTATCTCACTGGAGCGAATGCAGGCTTCTGTCTGGAACATGCTGACTCTCCGAAGCAGTGTTTCAAACCCTAGAACACTCAAAGAGCTCCAGAGCAGGCAGTATAGACAGTCCAGAAACCTTTTTCTGTGTTCCAGAATTATTATTACTATTATTACTGTTGTTATTATTATTTTTGGCCCAGAGCTTTCAATGAGGGGAGCGCCCCCTGGTGGAAATGCCTGAAAACATTGTCAGAAAAACACATGATTAGTGTTAATTAAAAAATTGAATAATCTGAATGCAAATTATTCCTGCTAGAACCCAGATACTGGAGTGCATGTCTTTGTCCTGTTCAGGTTTTTGTTGTTTGAAAATCTGTATCTGTGAATTCAGGATATATGTGGGCCCTTTCTCCATTTTCTATAGTTGAAAATATAGTACAAACTTGCCAGGAAAGGTCAAGGTCACCTATATCAGACCCTCGTGATTGACTGATAGAGATACCACTTACCAATGATCCTTCACAGTAAGTAAATAGTTTGTGAAGGTCATTATACCTCGCTCTACCACTGAACATACCAAGGTTCCAGAATTAAAGCTCCACAATCTGTGTACCAATAAATTTGTGCTCAATGGGTGCTCAATAAATTTGTTGAACTAGAATAAGTAAAACATTAGTCATTCTTGTTTCTAAAAAGAACCTGAGAACTTGTATGTCATGGAGTTACCAGCACTCATGCATATCAATTTTATTGGAAATTAGGAGCTGTCTTTCCTTGGGACTTCACATCTTACAAATAATTAGATGTGTGCTGTATATATGAAAACATACAATTATTCTGCATTGTCATTACATAGTGGTTAAGCCAGATTCCTCATTTTTTTTCCACTTAAAGAATGTATTTAGTGATGAATTCCTAAACCTCTCTTTTTCACATTCCAACAGGCGTTTACAAGTTATTACAAGTAAAATTCATTAGTAATCGTAAAAGAAAGAAAAAAAACTCCAATAAATATTATCAGTACTTCCAAAAGCTCATTATGAATTCTTTAAAACGGCAGATAAGCACAAGAGACTGCCAATCTGAACAAAAAGCCTGCCCGGCCTCCAGTTTGTCTCCTCTTTGAACATAATCACTGATTCAAATAGATTTTATCAGCTTCATGGAACTTCAAAGCCCTCAGAAAGGGGAAAAAAATGATTTGATAAAACCTCTCTCCTGAAGAGAAAAGACACAGAATATTCTTCAAGGCTTCCTGACTCTGTTGTTTAGTGAATTCTTAAACACATGTCCAGGTGAAAGACTATTTTCAAACTCCACCTGCTAATGGACTCAAGCCAGTAAGTTATAAATAGACGCATTCACCTCTGTCCTGTGGTAGGCTCATCGAGAGCTGTCACAGGGGGTAATGGCACCTTTTTACCTTTTGTTCAATAGTGATATGGATAGTGGACTTTTCTTAAATTACACTATGAAGAATTATAGGAACACAGTAGCGATTTCTGTTATGCTCAAGCAGGCAAATTTCTCTCCACTACATAATTTGCAGAACTCAAATTCAATAAAACATTACATGATGGTCCATTACTGTTATCAGTTTTGAATAATCCATCTTCATTCATTATTTTACTGGAAAATGAAGTGTGCCAAAGACAGGAGGGAGGAGAAGGAGAGAGAAGCGCTACCCTGGGATCAGAGTTAAATTCTGGGTTCTATTTATTCTCTAGAGAGTATTAAAGAATATATTTTCTTGTACCGCAACCTTTAAATAACAATATCACAGAGAGGTGAATGAAGAGGGTGAGACTAGAAGCTTTGGCAATCACTTTTAGCCATAGTTTTCTATTAAAAAGACATCAAGTGGACATAATTGAATGAAAGACATGTGCTAAAAGCTAGTATCTTCAATACCAATTAGAGCGCATATGCCCATCATTCATAGAAGGGAAAACCTTAAAACAAGTACTTCTATAAATTTCACCATAAATTTTCTGAAATGGTAGACTTTTTCTTTTAAAAGTCATGTGTGGAAGTCTTGAGAGGATCATGTTTTAATTTAGGAAACCCTATTAAGATGATGAGGAAATTCTCAGGAGTTTAAATCCAGGGTTTCAAGCTATTCAGAGCTGTCAATGACTATAAGAACTCTCAATTCATGAGCATGCCATCTACTGCAGCAGTTTCTCAAGTGCTGTTCGTAGCTGCAATGCCCTTCCACCATGCCATAACTCTGCCCTTTTAGGTACATATCTGATGGTAATTTTCTGAACCTGGGGTTGGAACTGCATATTGTAGTGAACGCACACCAATGTGAGATGTGTGATTTAACTCCGCAGAGCTCTTGTCTATACATATGCATCAGCATGTGTATTTTCGTCCTCCACACTCACACCCTGCTCTGACTCTGCACCTGTTTTTATTGAAATGCACACACTTTGAAATAAACACACTACATGCATTCATATGAATGTCTAATCATGAAGCTAAATGCAGCTGTGTGTGGGCGCGTGTGTGTGATTTTTTTAAGTATGACCACTGAAAAATACATACATGCTTGCGTGTGCAAAAGCTGGCTCTCAACCAATGAACACTTGAGCTCTTAAATATACATATGAAATGAATTCTATTTAAACCAAAGAGTTCCAAAATAAGGCCCAACATCTTCTACCGAGAAGCACCAATTACCAATATAAAGGTTTAAAAGTAAACCTGTTTATCAACCAAGGTTCCAAATAATTTAGGGTAATGACTTTTATTTTTCTAAGCTGGCTATTTAAAAATGGTATCTGTATCAAGCTGTGCCAGGTTTTCAATTTCTTCTCATTCTCAGAAAAATAAAGTCAGGGCTTCTCTATTAGCCAGGGAGATAACTGTCCTTTCAAAAACGCTGATTCATATACAAGGAGAAAACTGATCACTTAGAGTCATAACCCTGTAGTCGTAACTCCTCAGGGTTAAGAACCAAAGACAGATGAAACAGCCCTACCTAACACATTGCAACTCAGGAGAAGAAACGGGTGTGTGGTGGGTCTCCCCGCCTCTCCCTCAGCTCAACTTCTGTCCTGCTCTTCACCACACACAGTGCATTTCCTTTGTGTTTTAAGATACAACTATTTGCTCAATTTTTCAAATGCTTATCAGTGAATCTATACATCTATGATTTGTGTCTATGTCAATGCTGTCTTTGTCTGTAGGCTTTTAATTGAATTTAACAAGCATTAGCAGACTTTTATGTAGAGTCCTATTTTTTTGGCTCAGCGCTAAGCTTTACTAGCAATTACTGTATTTACAAAATGGAGAACGCTAGCAGAAATAGGGGTATCCAGAAGGGTGGCTTCTGAGTCAGTCATTTTTAAAATAATTGCCCCCAAATGAATTAAGGGGTCACACTAAATTTACTAGCTAATAGTGAACACTGTTTTCTAAAGCTGTTTAAAAGCCAGGAACTTGAGAAAAAGCAAACAGTTTTAGCCTAAGACACAACCCTGTGCAACCATCCTTTTAAAAACAGAACAATGGTCTACCAAAAAATAAAAAAAGGCAGACAAACAACCGTTAAAGGCTCTGTCAGGTCTCCTGATTCCCAATCTAGTCAAGGCCAGCCAAAAATAAGGCACAGTTGGGGTTCCCCTAGGTATAGGAACCCCACCAACGAGGAATTAATAATACCAGAGTATGAGAAGAAAATTCTGGTACAAAAATAATCATGTAATACAAAAAATAACTTAAATGAGAGGAAAACATGAGTCAGGCCTCCCAAAACTGACACAAGAAAGCAAGCCCTGAGGTGGAATGAGAAAATGGAGACGTTGCGCCCTCAGCCTAATCAAAGCTACAAGCTCTTTTATTTTTTTCTAATGACCCTTGTCTAAAAATAGATACCACATATCATTCTTGAATCCAAACAAAGGAAAAAACTTATTCATAGTTTAGGAGACTCAATCTGCTTAAGGCTTCCCATACCTGGGTCACCTCTCCTCCACACACCTATAAATACTGTAAATACCAACCATGTTAACAGATTGAAATCTAAATCTCCACGGGAATTTGCCCAGGAGGAGGAAGGTGTGAACCAGGGACACAGGCAGGCCTCCAAGCTAGGTGTAAAATGGGTTTATAAACTGAGGCCTTCGGGTCAACCCACCTCAAGGCCAGCTCTGCAGATAAGACTAAAATACCACCATGCCCACACCCATTCCTCCACTGTCCACAATGCTTAGCCTTCTAGAATGCCATAGATATGGCTCTCAAAACCTAAAATATTTACTATCTGGCCTGAGAAGGAAGCAGGGGACGGGAGAGGACAGAGGGAGGCCTGGAGGAAGTATAATCAAGACGCACAATGTGTACATAGGCCAGTGTCACAAGAACCCCCAAAGAAGGGGGTTTGGAAGAAAACAAACCATAGCAAGAAGGAGCGGCCAAGTCAAGAAACATTGTATGTTATAAGCTCTACCATTTTTCCTGCAAAATGGCTACAGAGAATTAAATGTGAGAGATCATCATGAAGCTTTAAAGTATATTAAGAAAGTTGTAGTTGTAGGATTTCAACAAAGCATTTACATAGTTAAATCTGATATGGAAAGGACACTAGAGTCTGCCCAGGACTCGCTCTTCACCATCTAGTACCAGTACTGACAGCTCCGATTCTGTGACACGACAGGGCAGCTCTAGCAAAGGGGATGAAGACACAGAATTGGCACCAGCAGCAACAATATAATCTCATGGGGAGAAATGACAGCACAAGGTTAAATGGTTAATGCAATGTGGAGTATAAGGCTAACCCTCAGCAGGGGTGGGGTCAAGGATGAAGGGGGGTGGGGAGGGGAAGAGGAGGCAGATCAAAGACAACAAAACTGACCTGAGTTCTGTTAAAAGCCACACGTGCAAACACTGCCTGGGAGATTCCTGCTCGTTTCAGTTCATCCCGTACCCACTGGTAGATTTCGGAAGACACCTCTGTGTTTGTCGATACCTGTTGCTCCAAAGGCTTATTCATAGACCTACTGACAGGGGGAGGGTGGTTCAAGTATTGTTGGTTTAAGGACTGCTGGGCTAAGAGTCTGTTCACTGCATACTGCTGGTTCAGCAGCTGGGCCATCACTAGCTGCTGGTTGACCAGCTGAGGACTGATAGGCGTCGACACAAGCCCGGGGTGCAGGTTTGGAAGAGGGGTCCGGACGGAGGGCTGGCTACCGTGGGAGAGCTGCGCAGGGGACGGAGGCTGCTCGGCTGTGTTCCCTGGGACGGGCTGCTGGCCAAAATTGACGTGGTTGGTTCCTTGCTGGGATAGTTCAGACAGACTGTCCATCTCAACTAAAGCGGACAAAAAGGAAAATCAGCTTCAGACGGTGGGCACAGAGGGAGATTTCTGATCACGTCCAAAATAAAAATGACAGTGGGCAGAGGGCACATGGAAGGGGACAGGAACCAAGACAATTTCACAACGCAATTGACAGGGCCGCATTTCCCCCTCTTCAGACAGTTCCCCATACTAAGCACAGAACCAACATGCCTGATCTCGCTTTTTAAACACAGCTTAGATTTGTGGCATAAAAATCTACTATATTCACACTTTTGTGTCTGTTTTAGGGTCAAACCATCATGTGTTCTCACTCATGAGGCCAGACGGTCTACAAGCAATCATGTTTCTTTTAAAAATGGCTTCAAAAAGATATCTTCTCAACAGCACAAGACAAGACACACTGAGCCCAACAGCCCCACCACCACCCAAAACCTATGATAACAAACTAAAGGAAAAAAATTACAAATATTTCCTTATTGTGTTAACATCAGTAATCTAGGCAAAATGTGTGAAAGAAGATGATGGAAAATACTACCTACTTTGTTTTCTGTAGCAGTGAATAAAAAGTATTCTAAGTAGTGAGACTAATAATAGGGGCATGTGATAATATAGGTGTTATAACTGCTCTGCTGGGTAGCGTGCTCCATTTCTCGTGGCCTCTTTCATCTAAGTCCAATCATTGTGGAAAACAGGGCAACCAGCAAATCTTTCTCAGAACGAAGCAGTGGGTTATGGCCTACCAAGCTAGTACACCAGTGTGGCTAAGACTCAAAGGTTTTCTGCAAGAAGCTGTGGTTCTCACCAGATGCTACAGACAATCTTGCGAGGAAGGGGCGGGTCGGTGTTCTGGCAGAATGGTGATGCTGTCATGATTCTGCAATTTATCCCTACCTACCCAGGATGAACGCCTCTCCCTTGGCTAGAGCTCTTGTATGGATTGGCTGCGAGTCAGCTCTAAGTATGTCAAATGCTCTCTTGCTACAGAGAGGAGACTGGTTTGATACTCCTGACTAGAGGCTGAGCCTAGAATGTAGCATAAATAGGTGAGTCTTTCCAAGAGGCCACTACACCCTCCCCTACACAGACTCTATTTTGATTTTAATCATCATTTCACTTTTCATTATATATGTGGGATTTGCATTCAGAGGACCTTATGGTATTGCTACAGTCACTGATACATGCAAAACATATCTATGAATTGGGGAAGAAACCTTCAGTTTTAAGCAGTGATATCAGCCCAAGTGGGCCATTTGTAGAGAACAGTAATTCAAGCAATTATTCCAAAAATGATACATTGTCTTCATTACAGCCCTAAGCTATAAAAGGCAAAGAATCTGTTTTGGTAGATGGATGGCTTTTCTTCAAATATTAAAAGCTAAAACATACTCAAAACTCAAGATTCTTGTCTCTAAAAATATTTAGGAAAAGTTATTATTGTTGTTACTATCAAATGAATCGTAATGGAGAAAGGCAGCGAGATTTAAAATAGGGAATAATGCCATGCGTATGAAACACCCATTTCTATTTTATTTTAAAATATATTATTTGGAAACTACAAGTATGTAAAGGAAGACATTCATAGACATTAGAACATCAACCTTAATCAGTGTTTGCTCCACTGAGCACTAACAGACTCACAACAGAGAGAATGCCAGAATCTAAATGCTCAGCCATGGCGCGCACCTTGACCTGTCATTTTACACCTCAGATCACCTTGAGGCATTTTCTACACAATTAATGTTGACCTAACACAGCACGTTCAGAGAGGATGCTAGGCTGGCTGAGAGTTTAGAAATGACAGTGTTGGTTCTAGTGCAAACTGGAGAACTGTGCTCACCACAATGTCCACCTACGGGTGAAGAGCCATAAAAACCACCCCATTTCAATGGTAGAAACTAAATAGTTTAATAAGTCAAATACAGTTAATCTTTAAAAGCTGGGTGTGAAAACAGGCTCCGTTCCTTGCCAACAAAAGCAAAACTCCTAAAAGCATGGTTTGCGTCTGTGAGAAATCACAGTTGATATTAGTTATTCAAGGCTTGGTTAGGTCTTCACTGTTAAAAAATGACAGCTCTCCTCCTCACGCCTCGATTTCCTGCATGTCTGACAACCAAGTCAGTTTGGCTGATTTAAACACAAACATTTATTGAATTTAATTATCTCATTATACTCATACCCACTCCCCCACCCCCAAAGAAACATTCTAAATTGATCTCTAATTGGGCAATCAAAGATCTGGCTTTCGATGTGACTTTGATAAACCCCCAAATGACACGCAATGGTATGTTGGCACCAGGGGGGATTTTTTTTTTTTTTTTTGCTTACCCATCATATCTTTTGTCTTCTTGAAATGTTTGTACCACCTTCCAAACTCTTGACATTTAGCCGCTGAGACATTTGCATAGTATGTGCTGTTCACAATGGAGGAGATCATACTCTGTGTAGAAAGGGGAGAACATCTGTAACATATAGTGCACGGGGGGGGGGGGATGCAGACACCACTTCTGCTATGGGAGCCTGTTCTCTTTTTTTCTAAATCAACTGGGAATGAAAACATTTTTCGTTTACACTTTAGCCTACAAGCTTCACCTTCTGAAAATTCATTAAGTACATCATCAAATGCTTATTAAAGTAGCAAGCCAACAGCCCAATGACACCAATTATCGAGCCGTCTGCTCTAGCACTCTACCCAATCTCCATCCACATGATCTATTCCTGACAAATGTGCACCAAACCCCAATAAATTCCAACGCATGAAGATGATGTCACCATTGAAATTCATAAAGGTAGGAGAGCCTGCGGCTTGGTGACTGGACTCAGCATCTTTCCTGCTCAAAGAATGGTCCAAGGACCAGAGAGAGTCATGGGCATCACCAGGAAGCTTGTTCAAAATGCACAATTTGGAGCCCAACCTCAGACCTCCACCATCGGCACCTGGCACCTGCATCTTACCAACACCCCCAGGGGATAGCCATGCTGATTAGAATTGGAGAAATACATCTTCTACTCCTACTTCCACTGTGTGGATTTCAAGCGGAGGTGAGAGCGTTGCCCAAAGGTTAACTGATCAAACTTGAGAAGAAATTAGCTATTCTAAGAGCCCCTCTTCCAAATAAGCATCTCATAACTTGCTCTTTGTATCTGTAGTAAAGCTTGAGTTCTGAATTTCAACTGACCAGAAAAAATTTAAATATGTACATTCTAGGCTCCTTAAATTTTTAAGGGTGCCCATCACAAAAAAGTCTTGTCACTTTTATTTATCTTGCTTTTAATAAAAACCCTGGAAACAGCCAGTCATTTAATATATAAAAATTGAAGACAGTAATTTTAATGTATTATGGGGAAGGTTTCTTAAAAACACAATTCATTTTCAACAAACCAAAGTGTTTGCTTCAAAGATAATTTTGGTTATAGTAATTGCAGTGACTTAATTCCTGGTTCACTCACAGACTCTAGTAAACTAACTTAACACTCAACTGAGTCTTAGGAAGGAGACTGAAGCAACAATCCACCCCTCTTCCTATGAGCAGAAACCTGAGATCTTACATTTCAGACCTGGTTGTTCTACAGAGAAACAGCTTACAGAAGGTTCCACTGTTGGAAGGCACCTGACAACCAGAAAAGCCAGTTTGGGGACAGGAGTATTTTTATATCATTATCTCTTTAAGCTACTTCAAATGTAAAGCTCTTTAGGCTATTATTAACTCTGACATCCATCATCAGTGTTAATTTTGTAGCACGTACATATTCCTGTAATGTGTAAGTTTGGAGGATCTCTAAAGAATCTGGAGTGATGGATAAGGTGGAGTTGCATTATTTATGTAAAACATGGCTATCTTTCCCATAGGCACTGTGATTTTTTTTTGACACTTTCTATTTTATAGTCATCTTCACATTTTATTTCTCTAAGAAGACATTCTTAATGTGTTCCTGAAGCTTTGCCATTAATCCAATAGCTCAGTAAGAACCTCCCCCAGTCCACAGTGCAAGGTTGCCAGACCCAGAGCCAAAGGACGACCTGATCCAGTTAACAGTCAGTGTCCACGTCACTCACTGTCTGGTAATAATGGATCAATAGTGCTAGAGTCTAATAAACCGATGGAGATTGCTGATGGGTGGTGGTGATTCTGCAGATGGACGACAGCTGATGGTCTTCCACTTTGACCCAATTTCTAAAACATTATTATTCTTAGACATTCTGACACTTTCCCTTGTTACTATAATAGAGCAAGTAACTTCCAGATGTACTTTAGTCCTTACTTTTGGAAACCTTATGAAGGTTTTTAAGAAATATCTAGTCTGCTTCCACAGTTCAATATATAAGATGTGCTCACTGATGCACTGGCTGGTGTGAGGACACACAGATGTGTAAGACATTGTCTCTACCTACAAGAAGTTTACCATCTATTAGGAAGGTGGGTTATGTAATAGACTACTTCAATTTAATATGATTCTATGATGAACAGTGGAAAATTCATGAGGGGGGAGCCTATGGTATATAAAAACAATTCTGAAATGTTTTTACAAAAATCAAGGTCCATATATAATAGCTCTATGCAGTTCATTATTACACATTTGTGAAAAGCAATACCTATATGTGGACCACTGTCAAAGCTCCTCCTGCCCTTCTTTAACCTGAAGCAGTAAGCTGTCTCCTGAAGTAGTGTTTCTCTATGTTGGATGCTTTCTAGTCTGTCAAGGGGTGTGTGTTTAGGAGACTCTGCTGGTGGAAACACAGCTTGAGAAAGACATAAATTGAAAGCTCAGTCCAAAGGTCATGGCTAACTTTTTGGAATTCCTATCTTTGTGTGTCTTGTGGGGGTGGGAAATATTCCTTAATTCAGATAACTCAGAACCACTTCCATTTTTAGTGGAATATGCAGGAATCTGTACAATTAAACTGCTCACAGAGCTGCTCCAGGATGTTTTGTTTTTTTTTTTTTCTCCTTTAGGTAAAACCTCAAATGTCATATTTGAGGGGACTAGTGAGTTTCAGTAGCAGGGAAAGGAGACCAGACTCTTGTGGCACATGTGCCATTTGAAAGAGCATGTTTCACGTTGCAATCCTAAATTCAGAACGCTAAAAATGCCTGCTGCCTTGGTAATGCAAATGACAAAGACTGGTAACATTTCGCTAGGTGGTAAGGGTGTACACAGCGTAGACAGACCAAGTTTAATTCTTAAAAGGGCTTAGGACTTGTGCTGGAGAGTATCAGTTGTCAACTGACACACCTGGGCAGAGGGAGCCTCAACTGAGGAATTTTCTACATTGGACTGGCCTGCAGCCATGTCTGTGGGGCATTTTCTTGATTATTGAGTGATGAGGGAGGGCCCAGCCCACTGTGGGTGATACCATCCCTGGGCAGGTGATTCTGTGTTGCGTAAGAAAGACATGGATGGTGGCACACACCTTTAATCCCAGCACTAGGGAGGCAGATGCAGGCAGATCTCTGTGAGTTCAAGGCCAGCCTGGTCTATATTAGTGACTTCCAGGACAGCTGGGGCTACAGGGAGATCCTGTCTCAAAAAGACCAAAAAAAAAAAAAGAAAAGAAAATAGGTTGAGCACCGGCTAGGGGAGCACGCAACGTTCCTCCACGGCCTGTGCTCAGAGTTGCTGCCCTGAGCTCCTACCATGTCTTTCCTTGAAGATGAACTGTAAGCTGTAAGGTGAAGTAAACCCTTTCCTCCCCAAGTTGGTTTTGGTCAGTTTTTATCACAGCAAGACAGAAACAAACTACAACAAGACTCTTAAGACTCTTACTACTTAAATCAAAAGGAAGCTCTGACTTTAAAAGCCTGTTTAAAGTTTCAAGTTAATGTAGGAGTGGGGCTCTAGCTGAGTTTCCAGTCCAGTGCCTGAAATATACTAAATATACACACAGTTCATCTGATGAAACAACAGAAATAAATCCTCGTTCTCATGTAAGATGTGTCACACACAGAAAGTATTACCTTGGGTCAATTAACTGACAAACCCATTACAATTCCCATACTAATGGGAACAACGCAAGTATTTACCTCAAGGAGTCCTTTAGAAAACACATTTGTTCACCATACTGGGTCTTATCAAGCATCCTAGGGCAGGTATTATGAAAATTCTCCTGGGTTTTCATTACTAGATCACAAAAGACACTTCTCATAGGGGCCGGCAAGATGGATCAGTGGGTAAAGGTGTTGCTGCTAAGCCCAATGACCTGACTTTGATCCCCAGAAGTCACATGGTAGAAAAGAACTGACTCCTGGGGCTGGAGAGTTGGTTCAGCAGTTAAGAACACTGGTTGGCCTTTCAGTAGACCCAGGTTTGAATCCCAGCACCCACATGGCAGCTAACAACTGTCTGTGACTCCAATTCCAGGAGATCCGACAGCCTCTTCTGTCCTCCTCAGGCATTGCATAAAACAGGCACACTCACCTACATTCAGGCAATACAAGCATACACATAAAACAAAACAAAATAAATATTAAGAAAAGAACTGACTCCTTTATGTTCTCTTCTGACCTTCACTGCATGCGTGTATACACACATACAACAAAAATTTTTTAAAAAATGCTTTAACAGAAGAGTAATAGATAAAATTGTGTTTGTTAGGTCACACAATTTTTGTTTGAGTGTGCAGTGAATGTGTGTGGGCATACGTGTGTGTGTAGTGTGTAAAGGTCAGAGGTCAACACCAGGAGTCTTCTTCAGTTGCTGGACACCCTGTTTTCTGAGACAGAGCCTCTCACTGCTCCTCGAGCTCATGGATTCAGCTAGATTGACTGGCCAGCAAGCACCAGGGTTCGTTCTAGAAGTGAGTCCCTGCCTCCTGTTGAGATGACAGGTCACCATGCCTGGTTTTTTACATGGGTGCTGGGATTCAAACTCAGGTCTTCATGTGTGTGGGTGAGATACCTCATTATCTCCCTATGGATTTTCTTAGGAGACTGAAGATGTGCTAATTAAATGGTGCAGTGACAAGCCCGGTCAAGGGAATGCCTTCTCCTCGTCCCTGCTTTACCAAGCCGGCAGCTCACGAAGCCATACCCCACTCCTCTAGCCTGGATGTAGTCCAGGGGCCTCTCCCTTCTCTGGCTGGCAGCTGCTCACCCTTCAGGATGCAGGCACCTCTGGGAAGCCCTTCCCAACTTCCCAAACACCATGCACACAAAGCTACCACAGCTAGCACCTGCTGTGCTGATTATTTCTACTAGACTGGGAGACAGGCTTGAAACCTATCTCACAACAGTCTGGCTTGTCCCTGTGGGGTTGCAGACATCTAGTGATCAAGGAAGGCTCACTGAAAGAAGTAACTCCTTTAGGCCAATGGCAAACCCTCTTCCCTTTATTCCCCGAAGGGTCAAAAGTAGTAATATCACTGTCAAATGAACCTTTCAAATCTACCACTTCTTAGCTTCAACAGTCTTAGTCAACAAATTTGTAAGAGATATATTCCCA